AGTTAAGCTCATGTTTTGTCAAGCCAACCATTGTGCCTCACTTCGAGGTTCCGAGTCTGCTCGAGCCAAGGCTGTTTTGGGGTGCTTCAGATTCACCCTTTTTGTCTCTGTTAATGTAGTGAATGTTTAAGACTTTTGACTACACAGCTATGGTGAAGGGATTGGATCCCTAACCTGCATACTATGTGTATCTGATATGTATATATATGGTTATGAATGTGGTTTAGTCCATAAAAGTTTTTCCCATTCAGGTATTCACAGCTCATTGGACACCTTGTTATTACTGTTTGGCTTCTGCCAGTCCCTTTTATATTGTATTACTGTTATTCAGGCCTTCGGTAATCACGGATTACTGGCCAGTTACGATGCTAAACCCTTAGGGACGGGTTTGGGTCGTGACAAAACTCCTTCAAGCTAATGCTAAAGCCAAGCTTATTCTTGTGTGTGGACTAGATGCAAATGAGTACAATAAAATTTCTGGGTATATTACTGCTAAAGAGATTTGGGATAAACTTGAAATCACCTATGAAGGAACTAGCCAAATAAAAGAGTCTCGGATTGACATGCTTATTCATGATTATGAACTCTTTACTATGGAATCATTTGAATCTATTTCTGAGATGTTTTATAAATTTACCAATATTATTAATGCTCTAAAATCTCTTGGTAAATCTTATACTAATGATGAGCTTGTAAGAAAAATACTTAGGTCTTTGCCAAATGAATGGGAAGCTAAGGTTACAGCTATCCAAGAAGCAAAAGACCTGACAAAATTAGGCATTGAAGAACTCATAGGCTCACTCATGGCTCATGAACTTTCAATGATGGATGACAGCAAAAAGGAAGTCATTTGGGGAGAAAATGATAGAGTAGCCAACCTGTGTCTCATGACTCTTGAAAAAGAAGAATCCACTCATGATAAGGTAATTTCTAATTATGTAGAACTTGAAAGTGCTTTCAATGAATTACATGACATATTTAGAAACGTTTGTGTTAAGAATTCTAAATTAAAGAAATTAGTTACTTCTCTTTCAAATGATGTGGGTGTTTTAAAAATAGAAAATGCTACTTTGAAAAATGACTTTACGTCTATTGCCAGTGAGAAAAACATTTTGAAAAACAATATCGAGGATTTAAACAAAACTTTTGAAAATTTTGTAAAAGGAAAAGAAAACCTCAACAAGCTTCTTGGAAATAAAGGATGTTTTTTTGACAAAGTAGGCATTGGTTTTGATCCTCTTAAACTTTTTATGAGATTAAACATTCTTGAGACTAATCCCCATGGACCCAAGAAAGTATGGGTACCAAGAAAGAAATCAAGATATTTTGTAGGTGGAATCTCAAAGAACACCAAGGACATCGAGAGGAAATGCACTACAAGAGTGTTCAATCTAAAGAGCAAAATCAGCTCCTACAAGAAGAAGAATGATGAAATGAAAATCACCAAAATGAACAATAGAGGTAATGTATGGGTGAAGATTCCAAAGAGGTAAATGAAGGATTAACTCCTAACACACCTTTAAGCTTAAAGTTCTATATTCTTTAAGGTGTGATTTGTGTACAATAGGTTGTGTCTAATTATTGCTTCCATTTAACCTAATTGTACTAAGTTTGCTAAGTCATGTTCTGCTAGTTTCTTTCAAACATTCATTGAACTAAAAAATGAGAATTATATTATTTTGATGAATGCTTATTAGAATATGAATGATTCATATATTCATTAACATTTTATATCATGTCATCCATTGCTATGAAAAAGATATAAGAAGTGATAAATTTTTTTGTGAGCATACTTTTCACATCTTATATATGACTTCATACACTACTAGAAAAGTGGCTTGCTGTGACTAATTTTTTGCGACTGATTATTTGACCGTCGCAAAAATAGTATTTGCAACAGCAACCTTAGTAATTTTCTCTTTTATTTATTTTGGCCTTTTGTTATACCTCTGCCCTAACCCTTTTCACTCTCACACTTCCGACTGATTTCCCCAAATCTGATTTCGCTCGCTCGATCATCTGAAGAAGAGACCATGGTCGTGATGAAGATTCTAATTTCGCTCGGTTGTGAAATCTGATTTCTTTTGCTCGATCGTCTGAAGAAACTGGGGGTGATCGATTCTCAAGAACTGTGGGATTGCTTGTGATCGATTTCGCTCTATAGATCACCAACGGTATGAACTCTCTCACTCTCTCTCAACTCAGTGAGTCTCTTTGAATCATTCATTCAATCTAACTCTCTTTCTCGTTGTAATTCGATCACTGTAATTCATTCTCACTATAATTTGATCATTCATTCTAACTGTAATTCATTCAAACTAGTTTAGCTGGATATTAATTGAGGCTTGTGTTGGTTGATTCCTAAACAAATAGTTTAGCTGAATATTTGGTTGTTTTGATTGTGTATGCATAGACATATGAATCTGAAGCAAACTAGTTTAGATGAATATTACTTGCTCTGTGTAAATATATATATTTCCCCAATTCTAGTATTGAAAGCATAGAATTGAGAAATTGACAAGTCTTACCTTATCAGCAAGGTCAATGTGAAGCCCATTTCCAAGTAACATGTCCATGTAATGTATCTGTCCCGTAAGCCCTAGAGAATGGAAAGGGTTCCATTTCGCCTAAGATAAAAGAGTCACGAGAGTTTACAGGATTAATTAGCCTATTAATCAACAACAAAATGTGCATTTCAATTCCTTTTTCATAGGAAAAATGCCAAGGTAGCAATTAAATAAGAAGAATGTACTCTCTAGTTAATAATACTAACCAAGAAGCAGGTAATTATTAGGAGAGGCTACTGTCACACCCATAGAGGAGATGGGAAAAAAAAATTATTCAATAATAGGTTGTTCATTACTTTGGCCACTTACTGTTGATATTTTACCCAAGTTAGGAGTTGCATTCTATTGTAAAATATCTCTTTCTTCTTGTCCCAAAAGTTGTTCAACCTCTGCAAGAATTAGACAATACTCCAGTTGATTGATCTTTGCCCAACAGTAGAGAAATTTCAAATTCCTGTATATGTACTAGAAGCACAAAGACTAGAATTGTCGTTGATTTCTTTTGTAGGATGAGGAAACATGCTGTGGTGCACCACAGACTCAAACAACAACAAAAAAAAGCAAGCCACAAAATGCATTGAATGTGAGTATTACAAAATCCAGTGATTAGGAAAGTCCATGTAAAATTTAGGTGATAAATGGTGACAAGTGGGAATATGTACATTTCAAAACAGGAAAAAGTTATTGGTTGTTTTTTTACATGTAAGTTTTGCTAGGGATCAATAGTGGGTGTTTAAATTGTCTATGGCCAATCACTGTGTGCACCACAAAACATCTCTTTTGAATATGATGAGCGTAAAGCATTTGATGCTGGATTTCTTATGAAGGCAACCCTTTGCTTCTCAAATACAATCCTCCACACTAACATATAATATAATGATGCTGCTTCCTTTTTTTTGTTATAAAGTAAACTTTGTACAGGAAGTTACTACTATGCTCTCATTTTTATTGGGAACTTAAAGATTAAAAAAACAAAAAAATCATATACATGAAACATTACCCCAAAATTTTATTCCAATATATACAAGGAATAAAAGGTGGATGAAGGTGCCAACTAGCTTAGTTTTTACCAGAAACTTGGAATTGAATCCATCTTCATTTGAAATGGGGAAATTTGTATGAAGGGAGGGTTATGCTTAATTGTGCAGAGATGTTACATATCTATGAAGCTATCAATCTCCCAAATGGAAACCACCTTGAAATTGAACAAATATTCTAAATCTTGTCTTTTCTTTGAATTTATTCTTTCTTAGACGTCTCTTATGGTCTTCAACATCCTCTTTTTATTAGAGAAAATTTGCCCAGGAACCTTAAAATGCCAAAGGTACAATTTTTTGCTTACATTTTTATTTATTTCTTGAGTCCAGATTTCATAAGGTTCAAGTTTTTGCCTTGATGGAATGACACCTTATCCACTGTTGTTGATCATTGTTTTGTTAAATCTGTCCGAAAGAATAATAATAATTTGAAATCAATGATGGGAGAAATTTTGTTGGGATCACTTCTTCGTGGGTTGTGGAAGAACATAACAGCCAAAACAAGTGTGTTGCATTGTTTTATTTCTTGTTGGTTTTCTTTACCTAAAGAAATTCTCAAGTGTGTTTACTTCAACTCTTCATTGCACAAAATATCTTCTACTGCTTCATGCTCCAGCTTTGATATCTTTTAAAAAAGAATTAGGGCTTGTTGAATTGGTATTGGGAATGAGGAACCAGCAAATCTTGTCTTCTCATGAAAGGATAGAGTTACTTAAACTCATTAATGTTTCTTGAAGCTTAGATTCAAGAGGTCAAGCCTCAAGTTAGTGCGAGCTTGGCATTCATTAACTTGAGGGAGTGCTTATTGAAATTTTCTCAAGAAACTGTTTTCTCCTTTTACGGATTGTTTAGTTATTTTCAAAAAGATGTTATAAGTTGAACCATTGTAAAGTTAGTATAAATCATGGAATTTCCACTTTCTCTTGATGCTTTGTATCATTAATTTATCACACTTTCTATATATTGGAGAGTATGAATGTGCAACACAGTGCTTATTTGCTATGGGTTTCTTCGTTGATGGTGTAGAAATCTATTGTATCTCTTGGTCGTGGCATCCTTGCCATTGATGAATCAAACGCCACCTGTGGGAAGAGATTATCATCTATTGGCCTGGACAACACTAAAGTGAACAGGCAGGCTTATAGACAGCTTTTGTTGACTACGCCTGGCCTGGGTGAGTATATTTCTGGTGCAATTCTGTTTGAGAAGACACTTTACCAGTCAACAACAGACGGGAAGAAGTTTGTGAATTGCTTGTGTGAGCAAAACATTGTACCTGGAATCAAAGTCCATAAGGTATGCTTTCTCGTTCAAGTTAATTACACTAAACCTTTCTTTATATCCTCGTCTTGTTAATTTAACTCTCCCACTTTTTACACATGTTTTCAGGATTTAGTTCCCCTACCAGGGTCCAACAATGAATCTTGGTGCCAGGGATTAGATGGATTGGCTTCTAGATCTGCCGAATACTATAAGCAAGGTGCTCGCTTTGCAAAGTGGTAAGGCTCCAAAAGAATAGTAGTACTAGTTTCAATTGACATAGAAGAGTAAATGTCATGATTTAATACTTTATTTACATTTCTGTATGAAATTTATAGGCGCACAGTTGTCAGCATTCCTTGTGGTCCTTCTGCTTTGGCTGTGAAAGAAGCAGCATGGGGACTTGCTCGTTATGCTGGCATTTCTCAGGTATGACCCCTCTCTCTCTCTCCCTCTCTCTCTCTCTCAAAGTAAGAAATAGAGGATATTTTGTCTAAATTGAACAGAGGAAGGAAATTGTTGATATAGCTTTGTTGCACAAGTGTATTATGCATAAAGGGAAGTTATTAAATGATAACTTCATTTTTTAATTATTGGCAACTATAGAGTGCAAATGGGCTAAGTAAAATTTGTCTTGTAATATATTTGACAAGTGCCTGCTCGGCAATGGATTCAGGATGATGACAGGAATTATTCATCTAAAGCAAGCATAAACATTTATGTCAACTTCACATTCTATCCTGATTGAGTGTTTACATCAGAACCTCATTATCCATAAGCTATGATTTGTATTGGGGTTGATAAAACAGTGAGAGAATTTTGCAAAGTCTAAGGTTGTTGACTGTTTCTCACATATGTTCATTTAAGTTCTTGTCACAAATTAATTCACCATTTCTGCTTGATTGTGTGTGGTAGAATTCTGAGTTATTCTAGTCTTCAATATTTCGACTTTGATAAATTCATAGAAGTTTTCTATAAGAATATTGTCTTGTCATTCTGCGATTTAGTATAATAAACAGATTAGAAGTGAAGCTATTAAAGCATAGGGAAATTTTTGTTCGATACAGGTTTGTTTATCACTCTTAATCATTCAGTATATTTTCTCTTTTCCGATGGTACACTAATTTTCCAGGATCAAATTTTTAAACTTTTTGGTTTCTTGTGTAGGATAATGGTCTTATGCCTGTTGTGGAACCTGAGATTCTTCTTGATGGGGAGCACCCTATTGAGAGGACACTAGAGGTGGCGAAGCGTGTTTGGGCAGAAGTCTTCTACTAATTGGCTGAGAACAATGTGATGTTTGAAGGTATCTTACTTAAGCCCAGCATGGTAACCCCAGGAGCTGAGCATAAGGAGAAAGCTTCTCCAGAGACCATTGCCACATACACTCACTATGCTTAAGAGGAGAGTGCCTCCTTCAGTTCCAGGAATCATGGTGAAATTGCTTGAACCATTTCTGATAAATTTACATGCTTCATTACTTTCCTCTCTGTTTTTGTTACAATTTTGTTCAAACACTTGGAGCTCGTATTCTCAATATTTATTGAACAGAGAATTAGCTTTCCAATTTTTCACACTAAAACCATGCTTCTAGTCTGAGTTCATAAACAAAAAAATGTTCCTTTAAATGATTTTGGTAAAAAATGTAGCTAACATGTGGGCTTGTTTGGTGCAATTTTTTTTCTCTCTCTCTCTCTCTCTCTCTCTCTCTCTTAAAGCAGATGATGAAATCAGAAGATGTCTGTAATCTCAAGAGTTACTGCTCTTCTTTTAACTCTGTAACAAGACTATGAAGGATTCTTAGAATTAGAACTATGATAACCTCAAATGTTCTTTGTAATTGCAAGAGATGAAAAACCTTTGTAGGATTCTTTCAGGAACTCCTTATTATTGTTGTACTTTTTTTTTTTTTTTTTTGTTGAAGAAAGAGAATTTTATTAAGGGAAGAAATGGAAAATAATGCATGAATGTTGAGATTTTTGCAAATATGTTTTTACGTTTTTGTATATAATATTTGAATATATACATATATGATTGTAGGTATTTTTTTTTATTTTTTTTTGCGACGGTAAGAAGATGGTCGCTAATACCTTGTAGGCATTTTTTAAACTCTTTTGCGACGGCAAAATAACAGTCGCTATAAGTAGGTTAGGCGGTCGCAAATAATTTGCGACTGCTGTTTTGCGGTCGCAAAAAGTATTTGCCACCCCCACATTCGCAACCCTCATTTGCTGTCGCATGGGCCGTCACAAAAAGTCTTTTGCGACTGTTTTTTTATTATTTGCGACAGCTTGTAGCGGTTGCAAAAAGTATTTTTTTTAGTAGTGATACTAATATATTAATTCCTTTTTGAGTCATGTTTTTGTAGAATCAATTTTGATGTCATAGCATGTTTTTGAGATGTATACTATCTATATTTTGAATTCTACATTTGTGATCTCAACAATATGCTCAAGTGTGATCTCATGCTTATATGCTTTACATTGGAATATTTGAATGAGTTGTGAAATTCCTTGATTATGATCCATCAACAATGTCTAAATGAAAAGAAGTATCATACGTTTGTAGAGACTTTGCATCTATCCTATTGAATATCTTTTGAATATGGATTATATTGGCATATATCTCATGAAATGTTTTTGATTGATAAATTATTGAATTAATTGTTTATAACATTCATGTTGTGTTCTACATTAAGTAAAATGTTTTATCACACTTGAGTATGTGGATTAAATTGATGAAAATGCCTCTTGATAATGTTATGTGATTAAATGAGATTGTTGCATCATTTCTTAATAAAACAAAGAGCATAACACTATTTTCTTATGCATATTATGCTATGTGCTACATTTTGAAAATTCTGAAAAATAACATTCCAAACTCTTGTTTGATCATTGAATTATTTTTCACCTTTTGAGTTTGTGATAAGAAGTGATTTGTACTGTATTTTTATTGAGTAATAGTGACTGTTCTATGAATGCTATATTTACACAAAATCATATTAGAAAAGGGTAACACCAACTTAGGGGGAGAAATCATTTTGCTGACATACTTGTTAAACCCTTTTGAGATGAACTCCTCATGAAAGAAAATTGAAAATTGAAAAACTTCTAACTCATGAACCAAAGGTATGCCTCATACACTCTCTTAAGCTGTTAAGGTAAAAATTCTATCTTATATCCTTTCAGCTAATACTGTTATTACTTTGATATGAAAAAGATTGATTATGCTTCATATGATTTGCAATGTATACTCAGTGATGATGCTCTTACCTAAAAATCATGCCTATGATTAAATGTGTGGTACATATTGAAATTCATGATTTTTCTTGGCATATGGATTGCTATACCTTGAACATGCTTCATTTTTTTTTGGAATTACATTAGTTCCATGAGATTATATTGAGTTTAACCTATTTTGAGCAATATTTGGTATTCTACGTAATGCTTGAGCTATGATTGTTAAATCTTCTAGATTGCATATTAGTATCCTTGGTAGATTGCATGTTGGTATCATTTTGGCATCTTATTTGATATTATTGATGAGAACATTTCAGTTATGAGCTTTCATTTATCATATCTCCTATTGATTTTGCCAAATGAAAAAGGGGAAGAATTTAAACTTGATTATTTTTTAAAATCCTCTCAGTTTCTATTCTGTTTTTGATATCAAACTTATGGGCTTGCACGTTTATATGTTACTATTTTTTTTTTGCCCATTATTGTCAAATGGTATAAGCTTCAATTGTATGATCAGTATGTGCTATCATTTTTTTGGTATCATAGAGCTACCTTGATATAGATGATTATTTGTGCTATAATGAGTCTTACATTCTTTTATCCTATATGCTGTACCATACTCCCTCCTTGTGCTTGATTTTGTTGAACATGTCATCGGGGGAGAAAAAGAGACTTGATTGTTTTAGTATCTCTGATTATTTTGGTATCTCCATGCCTTTGGTATCTTAATTCTTACAACATGACCTTTGAGCTGATTAATTGTTAATAATGTAAGAGGAAGATCGTTTTCCTCAAGGAAGAGTGACTTGAACTTTAGCTCCATATTTATGCTCTTGCTTGGCAACCTTGTTTGATCTATGCACTGTTATGTCTATTATAGTCTTGAGATTGGTATGCTCTTGCTAAGAAATTGAGAATTAGATCATGCTCTAATGCTTCTCATATACTCATTAACAATTTGGTCTCTCATTATTATTTTTTGTTTGGGCTTAATTTTCTTATTTTTTTCTTTGCTTTTTAATTTCATTTTTCAATACTTAAACATAAACATAACAACAAATTAAAATACAAATATTTACATAAAAAAAAAAACCCTTTATTTTTTTACGGCCATACGCCGATCAAAATAAACATAAAAAAAACATCAACAACACCCTTCATTTTTTTACGGCCACACGCCGATCAAAATAAACATAAAAAAAAAAAACAACAACAACACCATTCATTTTTTTTCTGGCCATACGCCGATCTTACTTACTCGCATCTTCCATCTTTTTCTTCTTCTTTTTATCACCTTGGGCGACCCTTGACGCCCTTGCCCCCGTGCTTCCGTCAAGAGCGACGACTTCCCGCTGACTTTCAAAGGCCAAGAACGACGTTGCTCCAAATCGGACCATGGAGGTGGTCTTCCGTTTAAGCTCTTTGTTTTCAACCTTCAGTGCGCCTATTTCTGCTCGTGCATCTTTGTACATGTGTTGGAGTAAAGAGAGTTGGGCGTTGACCTGGTGGAGCTCACTCGTTCTGTTCTGCAGTCGATGCGCCAATTTTGTGACTTCAGTCACCGTCTCCATACATGATGTTAGTGTGAAATGATTGGCTTCAATATCTAATTGCGCTGCCATTATTTACTCAATCGACATCATAAGAAGGTTGGGAAGAGTAGGCGTGGGGGCACTCGGCCCAGTAACACTTGAGGGATCATTCAGATCCGGAAAGAGAGTAAGGGGACGAGACGAGGCCATGTAGTAGGAGAGAGAGATGTAATCGAAAGGAGAGTAGTTTTTGACAGCCTTTCTGCTCTGCTCAGTATCTCTGTTCTATCTCTCGAGGAAGACGAAGATCGAAGAGAGTGATGAAGAAGAGATAGAAGAGAGTGAGGTGAAGAAGAAGAAGCAGACGAGTGTGATGAAGGCTGAAGAGAAGAAGACAAGGAGGGAGAGATAGTCGAGGTGAGCAGCAATCGAGGAGAGCTGATTTTGTCGGCCAATGAAGCAAAAGCCAGGCCGCGTGGCAACCGCGTTTTACGAAAAACGAGAGAGACGCGGGAGAGTTGTATATATATATATGTATATATCTATTTTGATTATCTATTTTTTGATGCCATTTATCACTATCATTTCCCTCCTCATCCTCCAGATTCTGAGCCATAATTTTCTTTTGATAATGTCACAGCGGGAGAAAATTATATGATGTTATGTATTATGGTATTATTTTCAAATTAATCTGATGTTATGTATTTATAGTTTGATATCTTAATCTTATATCATATTATTGATTAAAGTTTATTTATTACACATGTGCTAACCTATGTATTTATAAATGAATTCAGGGAGCATGACTTGAGGGGGAGCCTTTTGTTACTCCCAAATCAAATCAAAACATCATTGTGTGCCATCATAAAAAGGGGGAGATTGTTAGACTTATTTATTTTGATGATTTATTTAATTATGTTTTAATTTATTTGAAAGAGAAAAAATAGAATCCAAAATTTATTTTGATGATTTATTTGAAAGAGAAAAATAGAATCAAAATTTATTTTGTCCCATTATTTCTCACCTAAACATTTATCCTAAATGTTGTTAGAATGTATTTAATATTAGATTAAATCAGGAGTTCAAACAGCCCAAAACAAAGGTTCAAACAGCTTAGCACAGCAGCAGGCCAAAAGGTTCAAAAAGTTCAAGTGGAAGATATTCAAATTAGTAATGATGGAAGTATAACGGCTATAAACGGCTATAAAGGTTCAAAAAGCCAAAAGGTTCAACTGGAAGATATTCAAATTTGTAATGATGGAGTGGAAGATATTCAAATTGGTAATGATGGAAGTTCAACGACTATAAACGGCTATAAATTCAAATGACTACAACGGCTATAAACGGTTATAAATTCAAATGAATACAATGGCTATAAACGGCTATAATTTTCATTATATATTCCAAAGCCTCTAATGTAAACAAGTTACAAAAAATCTGAAAATATTCTTTGATCTATAATCTCTCACATCTATTCTCAGAAATTATACATTGAGCCTTACAGCATTAAGCTCATCTTTCATGTGTGAGATTTACAGAAAAATCAAAGTTTCATTTTATATATCTATCTTTGAGACATGTTTATTGTAAGCTTTCTTTGAAAGCAAAAATACCATTTCATCTGTAAAAGTGTTGTAAACACTGTGTTCTTGAAATCTTGAGAGTGATTGTGAATCACCTAAGATTTGCAAAGGTTTGGGCTTGTGAAGTATATGTAAAATCCATGGAGGATTGCTCCATTTGTAAAGAGGTTGCTAGCACCCTTGTGAAGCTAGAAGATAGTGGAAAATCTCAAGTGAAGCTTGAGGAGTAGATGTAGGCTTGGTTGAAGCCGAACCACTATAAATATGTTTGTCTTTTCTTCCCTAATCTCTTTACTTTCCTACTATTGCTATAGCTATCTAATATTCATGTGTTAATCATTTGATTTACCATGTATGTTAGTTATACTTCATTGTTATTTTACTTGATCATTTACTGTTAAGTTCATCATTGTGCTTGTTAATAATTTGTTGTACTAGTAGTTAATTTTATTGGGGTATTATTAATTTTAATTTGTAGAAACCTAATTCACCCCCCTCTTAGGTTGCTTTTTGGGTAACAATTTCAATCAAAAGATACATTTACATCAATTATAATAAGAGTGATACTACTTATCCAACTCCACCATCATCATCAACATAACCATTGTTCCAATTCCACAATATCCAACATCATTTTCCATTTCCCTTTTCACAATTTCAAATATCCAAAATTAGGGTAACCCCATTTTCTTTCAAAATCAATTTTGAGAAAAGATTTTCACCATTTCAACACAACTCTCCACAACCATAATCCTACAACCATTTTCAAGAATCAATTTGGAATGCCCCTCTTTTGATTTCAAACCAAACCCTAGGTTTTACCAAAAATTTCCAAATAAATAATCATTTTCAAAGAGCAAATAACTTAACTGAAAGTCATATAAAAGAATCAAAGAAATCTCTACCTCAAAGTAGAAGACACGAAGAAAAAATGGGTAGAATTTGACAGCGTCAAAAACCCTAGATGCTTCAATTAAAACGAAGTCCTCGATGTACTCAACATTTTTCTCTAAGGGACTAGAGTGAGAAAATTCATAGATTGAGAGTATTTGGAGCTAAAGTTTAAGAGCTAGAGAGAGAGTAGATCTAGGGTGTTGGAATGTTTAGAGAGAGGAAGAGATGAAAAAGTGACTAAAAAATGTTATCTCTCAGACTGATATATGCACAGACTGCTTGAGCGAAGAAATGGTTGCTCGAGCAACAGACACAAAAAGAAGACACTACTTGACCAAAACCACCACACGAGCACACAATGACCCCCTCTTAATAGTTTCAGACCTGTAAAAGTTCACTTGAGCGCAAGAAAGACTGCTCAAATGAAGAATTCAAACTCGCAGTAGTTTTGCAAACTGCAAAAAACCGTTCAAGTACAAGAATGGTCGCTCGAGCGAAACAACTCTTTGAAAAACTAACTTCAAAACCTATTTCAATCACAACCAAAACTCACAGTAGCCAAACTCAACAAACAAAAAGATAGAAATGAGCTGAACAACAATTAAATACACGGATTCTTGGATCTGAAAGTAACAAATGGGTCAGATCTAAACTAGAATTGTTATAATAAGAGTCAAATCCTGATTTTTTTTCTTTTGGGTAATTTTCCCAATCTGTTATTATCATTACTTTTGTAGCATATATTATAAAAAAATAAAAAATAAATAAAAATACAGTGTTGTCCTTTTGCTGGTCCCCAAGTCCCTCGATAGGTTAAAAAATAGTCGAGTTTGAACTCAAGTTTAACTCAAGGTGAGTTTAAAGAATTGATCTTGGGTTTGAGAATCTTGACTTTAAACTTGAGTCAATTCGATTAAATAAAGGGCACTCGATTCATAAATCCAAATCTTAATTTTGTTTGGCTAAAGGTTCAAACATTGGAATATTTTATCCAAAATAACAAACGTAGATAAAATGACCAAAATGCCCTTACTATATATATACCTACCTAGGGTTAGAAGCCTTTCCATCGCCTTGCTCTTCTCTTCTCTACTCTTAAATCTCTCTACTCTTAAATCTCTCTCTCTCTCTCTCTTTCTCTCTCTTCAATATAACCACTTCTCTGCCCTCCTCTACCAATCTCCATATGCCTTCTTTAGCCATCGGCGTCGTCTTCTCCCTCATCCGTCTACTCTATCGCCGCCCTCACCAAGTCTGTCACCGTCATCACTTTTTCACTAGAAACAATGGCTGCCTCCGGTGAAAACCAAAGCGTTTCAGCTTTCGGTGATGGAGTGGAGAGGAGGGTTTTAGGTTAGGTGAGAATAGAAAATCACTATCTTCTCTCTCTCTCTCTCTCTCCCCTTTTCATCATTGTTCCACTGCCCTCATCCGTCTCGAGATCCAGATCTGTAGCTTTACTATTGCCGGCCTTGAAATCCAAATCCACTACCACCGTGAAATCCAATACTATGTTTGGGAATCTAGGAGAGAAAAAAGAAAAAGAAAAAGAAATGATTACTTAAGTTATAAGAGGAAAAAAAGAAAAGAAAAGAAATGATTGTGATTTCTCTCATTCTTGTTTAAATAAGTAAAAAATAAAATAAAATAAATGATTGCGATTTCTCTCATTTTTGTTTAGTTAGATTTCATAAGAGAAAATAAAAGAAACTGTTTTATATTATATTACCAAAATAACATTTTTATATTTTGTCAATCATTTTATTTCTTTTATTTTTACAGGGACAGATTTGGTATTATGAAAATATAAGAATATGTTGGTTTCTTTTCTCTCTCAATCTCCATTTCTGGGAAGATTGAAAATGAGGGTTATAAGAGCAATGGATTTCTTTTCGTTTCTCTCCATTTCTCCTCATTTCTCTCCATTTAAGTTATTCAAACAAGTAAGAAAAATATATATCTCTTAATTTTTTTTTCTTTTCTCTTCAAATCACTCAATCCAAACATAGTGCAAATTTTGTTTTAGATCCATATCTAAAATATTTGGGACATTTCCAAAGGGTTTCGTGTTTGAAACGACGACTTCAACTTGCCCAAGTCGAAGGCATGGCCAACAAGGACAGTCGTGGCCCTAGTATTTGAAACGTCTTCATTCAAACTCCAGGTATACACGCACATACTTCTTCTATATATCTATATATATAAGTATTGTCCTGTATATATGTATTGTCTCGTATTGTTTGTCTTTTTTACTCTTATTTTTCTTCTTTGATAGTTTGTTTTAATTTTGGATATGAGATTATGAGTCTTTGAATACAGGAATTGAAGCTAATGATGCTGCTAGAGCTGTCTCAATTGACCAATATCATCGCTACAAACTATATATATACATATGCTATGGAAAAGAAGATCTAGATCTAGATTTGTTCATCAACTCTCTCTCTCTCTCTGTCTCTCTCACTCTCTCTCTCTCTCTCTCTGTTTTTTACATATCTAGGGTTAAAGTTTTTAGGAAATGGTGATTGATAGTGCTAATGTTTTAATTTACTTTGGTTGGTTGTGATTTTGGATCAGTTTGATCTTGTTGTGTACTGTAGATACAATTATATTTATTTATTTTTAATTTTTTGATATTATTATAGTTGATGATGATAATGCGATAATGAACAGATAATATTTGGTGATGATGTTATTGATGAACAGATAGGATTTGTTGTTATTGATGATGATGTTGAACAGATAAGTTAGAGTACAAGAGAGATAGATAGAGAGAAGAAATATTTGAATATAGTGAAATTTTTGAATAGATAGGATTTGTTTTGGCTTGATATTTCAACAGATAGAAAACTTAAAAAAAATTGAATAGATAGAATTTGAACATATAAAATTCATGGTAAAAAATTGAACAGATAGGAATAAAATTTGATTTAAAAAGATCATAAATTAAATAGCTAGAGTAAAAAAAATTAAACATATAAGTATAAAATTGAACAAATAAGAAAAAAATTTGAATATATAAATATAAAATTGAACAAATAGGTAAAAATTTGAATATTTAGATATAAATTTGAATAGATAGTTAATAAAACTCAACAAATAAAAAAAGATAACAGATAAATTAAGCTGTAAAATTAGAAATAAAATATTATTCAAAATAATAAAATATACTTCTCATCTTAATATTTCACAAATAATGAATTTCTCACCGAAGAAAATTACTTATGGGACCTAATTCCTTACAACTTCTCTAAATTATATTTTTCTACCATTTTCTCTTAAATAAATAATCTAAACATATACTAACAGTCCCTATAGTTTGGGAGTCATGTCACTTTGGTCCCCGAGATGAATAAATTATATTGATACACCTTGAGATTTATAGAAAATAAAATATGACTAATTTGACATCTTTAATATAATTACAGTGACCTTCCTTTTTAAAAAGATAAAGGATCGAAAGTAATGATGATGGTAGATTTTTTGGTTGGTAGAGTAAAGCCAAATCATTGGGGAAGTTTAGTGGGCAAATATTGGGGGATAAAGCATTTTTTAAAAGATAAATAATGTAAATATATATTTTATTATAAAAAATATAATATTATTAGTGTATACTCGTGTCTAAAGTCACGGTGTAATTAATGAAGAGATTAATAAATGAAAATAAAATTATTAAATTAAAATGTAATTTATCAAATTGCGTTACCAAAGATTTGAGATCAAAATATAAATACATATGAGGTTTCAACTTTCAAATGAATTTTGTAAAATTATCCATATAAAAATATACCCAATAAAATTATAGTAAAAAATGAAAAAAAATAATTTCTTGTAAGAATAAGTCTCGTGGGTTTTGTATGGTTAATAAAAAAGTTCTGTTAAAAAAAATAAAAATAAAAATAAAATGTTATGTCTCGTGGGGCAATTCAACTAAATCAACAATTCTAGATCAAAAGTTATCCTTCATGCACGACTGATATCCCCATCCCACTCTCTCTCACTCTTGAGAATTAAAAATACATCCATCCATACATCAAAAAAATGCTATGTACCACTATTACTTTTTAGGATAAATTACAAATACATTTTTAGAGGTTTAATTAAAATACAAATCACCTATTGTGGTTCTGAAAATTACATTCCAACTCTTGAGATTTTTAATTTCATAACAAATCGTCCATTTTATTAATAAATTATCAAGTTAATTAACAGTTTTTAATGAGATTATAAATATGTTTTAATTAATAATTTAGGTAATTTTATTATTGTATAGGAGAGCAATTATGAATTTTTTTTAGTTAATTCTATTAAATAAAAAATTTCAATAAAGAGATATTTGTAATTTTTTAAACTATAAGAGACAATCTGTATATTAAACAAATCTCAAAAAATATATTTATAATTTAACTTATTTTTTAATATAGAATTTGATATATTTTTAATTAGAGTGTATTTTTTATACAAAATTTGAGAACTTACCTCTTTGTCTGCTCGCCGACCGAAATGTTGAATATATAGTGACAGCTTTGGTGCATGTCTACCTCTCCTTTTCTCTCTTTTTTTAATATAGAATTTGATATATTTTCAAACTTCTGTCCCGCTCACGTGCTCTAAAATCAAAGCATATTGCACTTAAACAAGTGGGTCTGATTCTCACTTCAATCTAACATTAAACAAATCCAAACTTCATCACATCAAAAGAACAAAAACAATATTAAACTAATCATTCTTCTTGGGAACTAAAAAAATTATGCTTCCCACCACGCTTAAAGTTGAGTGTAAAATACACATCTATTCACCCATGCACACCCAAAATGGTTTTATTTCACGCACGCCGACCACTAGGGGTATAAAATTAGCCCAGCCCAGTTTAGCCGGTCCATTCAGACTCGAGCTTGGTCCGGCCCATTTTGGGCCTCATAGGTTCCTGTCAAAATTTAGACTGGGCCAAGCTGGTCCATCGGCTGAAAAATTAGGTCCAGGTCCAGGGGAATTCGGGTCTTGGATAGGCCGGTGAGCTGGGCCTCGGGCTTAGGCCAGGCTTGGGTGGGTCTGATTATTTTTTTTTTTATTTTTTTAATTTTTTCTACCAAAATTTTATTATTTTCTACTAAAAAAGATACTGGGCCTCAGGCGGGCCGGGCCTTGAGTGGGCCGACAGGCCGGGCCAAGCTTCAAAATGATGGCCCAGGGGCTCAGGTTGGGCTCAAGTTCGGATCCTGTAACAACCCTCACCACTGTTTACCGATAAACTACCGATTACTGTTAAACTAAGACTGATTATGATTGGTAATTGAACTGATTGAAATACTGGACTGACTGACTGGAATCTGAAACTGAATTGATTAAGTATATCTGTTATATTGCATTTCTATCTGTTGACTGTTTGATTATCTGTTCATGTCTTTGTATTTAAATTGCGAATTGAAGGCTTTATCGGCGGCCGAACCGGAAATGGATTAGTGTTTTACGATCATCATAATTTATGTGATTTTATGGTGTATTTATCTGAAATTTGATTTGGTATGGTTAAATTAGATTAAATAACATTGTATTACAAAGTACTTGTATTTACCAACTTGCCATCCTTGGTAGCCCACTACCTCAACATATTGAGCCTTGTACACTCTCAGACAAACATTTTCTTCAGCCATTTTGAGAGTTCTAGCCGACCAAGAGATAATGAGGGAGAGAATTGCATTGTCCTTGTTGATTTGTTTAGAAACTTGAAGGGATTGAAGGTTGATTTCAAAATTGTGCTTCCATTCTTGAACTACAAGACCTAAGGTAGTGTAACTACCCTCTTGTTTGTGAATTCAATTGATTCTTGCATGGTTTTAGAGCAAGTTGAAGTCTAGAGCCAAGCTATGGCTCTTAAGTGTTGAATTATAGCTTAATTCATGCATGCATACCAATATTATTGAATTTTGAGTTGATTCCATGGAAAATTGTCACATGTATGCTCATATTTATGTTAAGTCCATGAATTCATCTTGTCTTTGAAGATATTAGCTCAATAGAGCATGTATTTGAGGCTTGTAAGTTATTTAACTTCATGCATATTGCATGTTCATCTTGTTCATGAAAATTGGTTTGAAATTGGATTTATTTGAACTACCTTTGGGCTTTGATTTTTACAATTGAGCTTTGAATCATGTTAAACTATGAGTTTTGAAGTGTTTTCCAGGAAATGGGCCCAAAAGAATCGAATTTGATACCTTTGTACTTGAATTTGAGCTTGAGGTTCAAATCTGAGAATTCCAGATTTTGAACTCACTCTCGAGCGGGGTGACTGGCGCTCGAGCGTAGAAATCGTGCTCCCAGCATTTTGTTCTGTTTTTAAGTCAGCTCGAGCGGGGTAATTTACGCTCGAGCGGGACCTTGTGTTTTACGCTCGAGCGGGTGTCGAGCGCCCAATCGAGCGTGAATTTCACCTATCCAGCATTTTTGACTATTTTGAATTACGCTCGAGCGGTTAAGTCTGCGCTCGAGCGGAAACCTTTGTCTACATGTTCGCTCGAGCGGATTAACCTACACTCGAGCGGGCCCCCTGTTTTCTGAAAATGCTTTTAAAGTGCATCTTTGCATCCTCATTTCATCCTAGTCATTCTTAGGCCTAGTTTAAGGCATCTTAATGAGGATATAGATGTAGAACCACACCGAGTCGAGATAGGGAGTAAGTTATTATCTTTCCCAACTGTGTAGCTTAGTGTGTGTTCAATCTGTAAACTGTGTAGGGTTGGCGACTGAGGACACGCTCTAGCCTAACTATAGCCCAGAACTCTGTGGGTAACAACTGTGTAAAGATATGTTCAAAAATGATTATCTTCTGAACAATTGAACTGTACTGTTTCTGAATTGATACTGTTAATAAAATGAATGTATGTTCTCTATTCTGAACTGTATTGTGGCATCCTTAGCAATTACTGTTACTGACTGTTACTGTTACAAAGATCTCTGTCGGTTCCCTTGTTGGAACCATTACTGTTTACTAATTGATGGCCATCATTGACTATTCGGTTTTTTAAGACCTACTGTTTACTGTACTGCTATGTTAATGGATGTACCACATATGACTGTACTAACTGAACGACTGAAATACTGATTTAATGAATTGTTTTCATTACTGTAAGGACATTCATTCTAAACCTCTTTACGCATTATGTTATTCACTGGGCTTTAGCTCACTGGTCATATATATATATATATATATATGTAGGTGTACAGGCACCAGACCGCGGCTAGAAGCGTCAGGGTAAGCTCCAGTTTTGGCAAGCCAACCACTGTGCCTCACTGCGAGGTTCCGAGCTTATCAAGCTATGGCTTAGGGGTGTTTTAATTTCCCCCATCTGTCTCCGTAACTGTTTTGTAGACTGTATAGACTGTTACTGTACTGTTTAATAGGGATTAGGTCCCTGATCTGAATGATTATAAATGTTGTACATACTGTTCTGCACTGTGTATATGTATATATGAAAAGTCTTTTTGGCATACAGACTGTCACAGCTCATTGGACATTGTTTATTTACTGTATTGGCTTCCGCCAGGCCCCTGTACTCTGTTTCACTATATTACTGTTAAGCAGGCCTTCGGTAATCTCGGATTACCGGCTGGTTACGGTGCTAAACCCATAGGGGCGGGTTTGGGTCGTGACAGAGTGGTATCAGAGCGATACTTAACCACGAGTTATACCACACACACGTGTCCAAATGAGCTATAGGATGTCCTAGGAAAGCGATTAGGGCATTGCA